ATATTTTGCTCCTGATTGAACTTTGCCATTGATTGATAAAAGTCATCGCTGACAAACGATTCAAGTGGTTTATTCGCATCAAGATGGCTGTTGTCGAGGCTTTGCCCATTATCTTCCTAATACTCTTCTCACGCGTAGCGGCTTCCGGCCTGGAGGCGTCCAACGACCGGCCAATCATCGGAGTGCTATCACAAGAGACTTACATCGTCCGTTCGTACTTTCCCAATGAAACATACGACAGTTTCATCGCCGCCTCCTATGTGAAGTTTCTGGAAGCGGCCGGAGCCCGAGTGCTGCCCGTTTGGTAAGTCGTCAATCAACACCTTTGGCTCGGGCAAAAGTCCTTAGACTTTTGCTTACCAGGATCGGGCAGGATGAGGACTATTATCGGCGAGTGGTGAACCGGACCAATGGGTGAGACTGAGACCAATGAGACCAATGAGACCAATTCTCCTTAATAGACCGTTAATAACTTATTTTGGGGGGGTTTTCTCTGCAGCCTACTGTTTCCCGGGGGCGGCACTTGGTTTAACGAAAGTGGCGGGTATGGAGAGGCAGCCACTCGACTCTATCAGGTGGCTCTGGAATACAACGACAAGGGGGTACCTACTGAAATCAAGGCCCTTTTGACTTGAACCCTTATTGTTCTGTTGTAGATCTATTATCCGATTTGGGGCACTTGTCTGGGCATGCAAGCCCTGATGTTTGCGGCCTTAAAGGGGGTTAAGGACATTCGGGTTGACTGTGACTTGAGGAACGTGGCCTTGCCGTTGGAGTTTGCCGAAGGCAAGTGATGGTTGGTGTTTGGAAAGTTTTCTACTCTGGCTCATTTTCAGACTCCGACAAGAGTAGGCTGTTCAGTGGCGCCCCAGTGGAGATAATCGAAATTTTAAGCGAAAAAAACGCCACCTACAACCTGCATAGGTACTGTCTTACCAGGGCCGTGCTCGATGAAAACAATCTGCTGGACTCCTGGCGAATTATTTCCACCAATAAGGACGCCAATGGCTTGGAGTTTATCAGCGCCATCGAGCATCGAAGCTACCCGATCTACGGTAGCAGCTAACTAAGACCGAATGGTGGCATGTGGATAATTATGGGCTTTCAGGCGTTCAGTTCCACCCGGAGAAGAATCAGTTCGAGTTCAATAAGGGCAAAGGGTTCCCGCACTCCTCGGACAGCATCAAAGTGGCTCAGTATTTCGCGAATTTTTTCGTGAATGAGACCCGGAGGAACCACAATGGGTTTAGCAACGATACGGCCGAAGCGGAGGCGCTGATCTACCAGTTTTGCCCCCGATATACGGGGCTAACAAACGGCTACTACGAGCAGTTGTATGTTTTTGTTAAGGAGGATTTTGACAAAAATTCACTCATTTAGACTGAGTACTGTTTATATGGAAATATAATTTTGGTTTCAACCAGAGTATTCTTGGGAAAGGGATCGGGATGGGAAAGGGATCGACCATCGATGAGCCCAGTATAAATATTACTATTAATCTATTGACTAAACGAAATGAGACCATGATAAAATGAATGCGGTGTACGCACTAAAGTACAGAACGACCAGCTAGAAACATTAAACTTCATAAAAAATATAAAATTAAAAAAATAGGTTTAAACAAATTTTTCTCGGAGAAATGTTGAAATAGTTATAAAATGTTCATTCAAAGTATTCACTGTCGATGGCGTATTAGACGTTTAAGGAGAATGCGATGCCCGATCTATCTGCAATTTTGTACAAAAAAGTCATCGGCTATGCTCTATCGGCCTAAATTATTTTAAGCGATGCGAGGGTGCCGCTTATACCGAAAAGTACATACAACTTTGATATTTTAATTGAGACACCCTGTATATTAATGCACGGTTAGATTGTCTATATATATATTATTATTTTTGCATAGCGATTGCTATAGAGATTTTCTTTAAGAATTTTATGAGATTTCCTTTAAGAACTTTATGAAGAATTGCAAAATCTTCAACTGTTATCCCATTTCATGGCTGTTTTGATAAATACGTCGACATAATCGAATGTTTGCAAGAATGCCACTTATTTCGGAAATTTGACGCTTTAGGTATAGAAACATGATATATCGTTTCACAGGAAATTTAACGATCTTCCCGTATTTAAACTACTATACAGGGTGTTCTATTTGAAAAATTGTAATTGGAGCAGTTTTTATCTCTATCCGAAAGGTCAGTATTTTCAAGACATCCTATATTATAAATGTATAATTTTGAACAAACTGCTGTACGCCGGGGTCAAGCATAGGGTTTTCCAAACCCAGTACCAAAATTTTAAATTTACAGGGATCGAAATCGTGTTGAAATACAAGATTACTTGAGGCTACGTTTTGATTAAAAATAATGAATTTTATTAAATATTTTGGAAACCGCTTTAGATCGATATAGGGATCGTTATGCAGAAATAATCAGATCTATATCGCCAATCCAACCGTGCAATAATATACAGGGTGTTTCATTTAAAATAGCAAAGTTGTATGTACGTTTCGGTATAAGCGGCAACCTCGCATTGTTGAAAATATTTTAGGCGGATAGACCATATCCGGTGACTTCGTTATACAAATTTGCAGATTGATCGTGCATCGCGGTCTCCTTAAACGTCTAATACGCCACCGACCGTAAATCACCCTGTATAATCAATTATTTCGGAAAGTCGTCACCTTCGTCTCTGAATAATTCGATTTTTTTAAATTCCGGTTTCTTCACTTTTAGGTCAATACTTCTAAACAAAACTCTCTCTAAACACGTTTTACTGTAAAATTCTGGCAAACTGAGAGTCTTTTATGTAAAAAAATGAAGGGATCGATTTTACAAGAAAATTCGTCGTCTTTATAGTTTGGTTTTCTTTACCATCTTTTTCGAATACCTGTTTTACCTTTGAATTTGGGACAAAAACGAAACAAAGTCCTCTAGTTTTTTTTTCGAACAAATTTAAGTTTCCAAAAAACACGCAGAGAAAGCAAAATAATATAATCAACTATATATTTGGAAAATTAGTCACCCTCATCGCCCAGCAGAAGTTTTAAGTTTCTTCAAAATTTCCGGCTTTTCCCGTTTTAGACCAAATAGTTTCCATCAATCATTTCGCCCGAAAAAGTAATGGCTTGGTGCGCCAACCCAACGCACCGGCGCTCAGTTCCGTTGCTGGTAAAACGTTATTCATAAAAAATGTTGATGACTTAGACTTTTTTTTTAGAATTTAAAATTCTAGTCTCGCTCATCGGTAAGCGAGTTATAACTCATTAAGTGATGCGTTAAAACTCATTAACTCAAAGAGGCAACAACTCAAAAGCGCAACTCAACACAGTGTTACCCGGGCCTACAATTTATACTCTGTGATCTGTGGAAAAGTATGATATGCAATTGAAATTGATTACGATAAAAAATTGAAATAAAAAGGTGAAAAATTAAAATTTTTTAGAAAGAATTAACTGAATTTTTTTTGACTTATTAATAATAAAGCAGCAAATAAAAAAAATTATAGAGGAATTAAACAACTGATAAAACATATTATCACATTTTATATTTTTTGACCAAGTCAACATTTCCACATTTTTGATATGTCATAGAAAATCTCGAAGATTAGAAGAAACATGCGTAAAGTTATTTTAAAATTAAGTAACATCAATACATTTATATTGGCTTTATTTTTAATTAGCACTGTGGACATCGGAAATAACATCAACTTTCAACGAATAATATGCAGATTGAAGGTAAGTATAAGTGGGAAAAGAGGTGATTTCCGTAACCACATTGCGCTTAGTTAGTATGCTACGGATTTAAAGTTAAACATTTTATAGCGAATAAATAAATTACATTTTATTTAAGAATATACCGTTTTAAAAAAGTAGTGTGATGAATTAAAAATAAATAATAAAACAGCGTATAATAAGAAACAAAAACAGGCCAATTGCCTGATGTCTGTTTTACAATTCGGAGATTTTCCTCTAACCGTTTTATTGTTCTTTTGTACTATCATTCTTTGATTTTTCCCATTTATTTTTCCAAAATCACACGCACAATTGAATATAATATTCTATTCGATCTAGTATATACTATATACACCGAACATAAGAAACATTTTATTTTTATACAAATATTTATCTTGATATGATTTTTTAAGAATTGGCGAATTTTCACTTAAAAATGTACACATTTATCTTTAATCCTAGGGGAGTATATTTTATTATAATTCTCTAAACACAAAGAAGGATTGGTTTTCTTTCATTTTGTGCACGACATGATAAAAAGATTGTCAAAAAGTGTTTATAAAATAGATGTAGACCTAGAAAAGTACATATTTAGTTAAAATGTTGGGACGAGCGACTTGCAAAATTCATCTCCTGTCCTCACGTCGCAAAATCTTATTTCAATGTTGACTTTTTCGCTAGTTTGAAATCGAGTTTGAAGAAAAGTTAGTCAAATGCGCTAGCGGTTCTTTTATCGAAAATAATGCGACTTTCAGTGAATTTCGTTTTCTTTTAATTTTCAAACTTTTTCTTCCGATTTTATAATTATCCTATTTGCTATTAAAATAATTAAATTATTATTTATATTGTGGGAAGGTTTACTTTTTGGTAATTGTACGGTTATATTTGAAGTGAAAACGACAAACCCGGAGGTTTGATGATTTTCATTTTCGTTTTCGTTAATCGTTTGATGTTTTAGACTCTCAAAACCAACTTTTTAAGTGAAATGTCTCTTATTGAAGCAGGAAGATTGTTATTTTTACAGTTTTTAATGATTAAAGCAAGAAATTCAATTTTTGCACAAGAATACAAATTACTAACTCGACTAAAAGGAATTTAATGGATTCCTACTTTGTTCAACAATTTCTTCAACCATTTATTTTAGTTATTGTAGGTTATTCTCGCGTTTCAGCTGCAAGCTTTCTTTTACTCGGTAAGTTCAAAAAAATGCCGGTTTTTGCGTAATAAATAAGGTAAAACATGGTAAAAGTCAAAAGCTTTTGATGTTACTACATTTTTTAAAGAAGCTTTTTATTAATGTAAAACAATAGTTCTTTGAATGGACGCTTTGGGATCCAGATCTGGCATCCATAAATTTTTGCTTTTGCCAGTTGCTTTCGACTGGGGCCTACAAAAAATTGTGGAAATTCCGGAAACAAGTTGATAATGCGGCACCTCCTATAAACAAAAATGCCAAAAAGGAGAATATTTACAATTTTTTTTGATTTTTTGCATGCATTTAAAAAATCATATTAATTCAATTTTTGTATTTGTCGTTCAAGTTTTTGCCAATAAACGTTATTTTTGTCAGTATATTTAAGAGCAAAAATTAGGAAGACTAAAAAATAAAAAATTTAGGGGAATTATTTGCAAAGTTTTGCAATTTGTTAATTTGTTCTTCAGAATTGTTTAGTTTCCCACGCATTTTGCAAGTCGCCCCATACCCACAATGATTATGATTTCCAAAAACCATCAATATAAAAAATGTTCTGCAGTCAATATTCCCTATAGTTGCGCACACTGTATTGCTAAAACGGGTAAATCGAGCCAATTTTGACACAAAACTATGCAAATTCGTCCATGAACAGTTCAATTGCCATCATTACTGTCCATCCTTCAAATTTATGTACGATACAGAACTGTACAAAACATTTAAAAATAATTCAGGTTATTCAACCCGTGGAAGCGATCTCCTAGTGACCCTGTATGCATCCTCATGGGGTACTTTCTTAACTAAAAAACAAAAGTTTAGAGAAATCAGAAGTTAGATCTGGAACAGGAATTGTTAATGGCGCTCCTAATTAGGCCATTAGTCGAGTCTATCATTTTTCCGATCAGTTTAGTTTGCATGTATGTTCAGATCACTGTTGAACGGATTAGGAGGCTTAAAAAACTATCTAGTAGGAAGGATATAACAGTCTCTCGAAATATAGCTAGTTTTCCAAAACTCACCGTTTAGGGCTAGGAAGGTTCGCTTAATGAACACAAAACATTCTAGAGTTGATGAATTGAGTTTTGGCTTAGCTAGTAGTCAAACTACATTAAGAATGAAAATTCTCAGAAGATTAAGGTAAGAAGTGCTAGTCGCAAATATCCAAAAATCGAGATAAGAAATTGTGTAGCTACCAAGAGAACAACGATCACAAGTTAACATATATATCTAACTATCGTTTACCATCATATCATAAACATTTATTACTTTATTTAGGTAATGAAAATATGTTTTATGAAAAATATGAAGTGTATAATATATCGAGGTTATATCTGTTCATTTTTTTTTAATTATAGGCGATTGTCTGTCGAAATTGTAGAGAGTCTAGTAACTATACAAATCTCCTTTAACATTACAAGGCGGAAAAAAGACACACTTATTCTTAAGGGTATCATCCGTCTTAATACGCTAGCAGGAAAGTTTGATTGTTAATGTAACTAGAGAATTAATGGACATACTAAAGACGGACGCCCTTGAATAGAATAGAATAACTGATAAACGCAGCAAAGGTTCCAAATTTGGAGCTAGATTAAGAACATTTTCATTCCTTTTATAGAAGGCTGGTGGTGTACAGAATACCCGTGTTACTGTGTATGTTGGCAATAGTTTGGCACATTTCCAGCCCACCCGATCCATCCACCACCAACCTTTCTCGTTTACACAAATGCTTGGGACACAAAATGCTACACAAAATAGACAAAAAGCAAACATATTTGCCACGTTTCCATCTGATTGTCGTTCGATTGCCACTCTTCAGCTGTAGAAGCAGACGTAGTAGGGGAGGGTAAGTGCAATTCGGTAAGTTTGGTAAGAACATGTTCTGCCATATGGGTGCGGTTAGGAATACTGGTAAGCTTTGATTGTGGTGAAAGTCGTACAATACTGATGTTGGTAAGATTGGCGGGTAAGCCTGATGCTGGTAAGGTCCATTTACTGACGTCCACCAAAGAACTGATACTGAAACAGGGAGAACAATGCAGATATGCTGGATGGGCGCACTGACTTGGTAGCTTTGGACAGCCAGACAACACAACTACATTTTGGATGTATTTAGTATTAAGTAATATATAAAGCGAGTGTGCAGAATAGTGAAACTTATCCAGTTATATGACGGACTTCAAGCCCAGAACGTGGACATTTAGCTGTTGACTCCAAGGCCTTTTGGCTCACCAGATTTGACTCCACTTGATTACTTTTTAAGGCGCCTATGGAATATAATGCTATATACAAATCAGGAGACGTCAGCAGCAACTCAAAATAATACTTCATGAGAAGTAGCAATGATAGTAATTCTTGTACTTTGTTAAACAGTTTGTCGATTGTTGGAGGAAAATCTGGATTTGGTGACATTTCAAGTCTATATTTTACAAATAATGAAGGCTGGTTTTGACTTAGAATGTTTGACTAAGCTAGTTTTAACTCAGAGTTGCTGTTATGAGGATGTCGGTTCGCAGGAGGGAGAGTTCAAATGAGCGTTCGGAATGTCACATTAGTTGAGCACCACCCTGTAAACCAAACGTAGCCTTTGCTCTTTAGGTCCAGATGAAAAAATCAAATCAAATTCCGAAAACTTTTTAGCTTCAACGTTTAGACTCATTTAATCCCTACTCAGAACCGATACCTTAGAGACTACAACTTTCCATTAACATTTACGCTGCGATCTCTGAATTTTCATTCAAGAACATTTAATATCAGGCCACCTAAATTTCGCAAGAGTCCTGTAGATGTTACCAAATGAATTTTCTCATCCCAAACTGGATAAGTTTCAGCACTCGTGACACAGCCCTCATAACACATGCATGCAATAAGCAAACGGGCAGCTACAAGTATGAATGAGCTGAATGTAGCTGATTTACTGACCTCGCAGATGACTATGTTTACAAGTAAACACCCTCTAGATGATTCGATGGTGATGGTGATCAATTTCGCATTTTTTGTATTGAAATGAATATAAAGCACATGTGTGGTGCGTGTGCGTGGATGTAGGCGGAATGTTCCAGGCTCTATTGTGCATATTTCAACTGTGATCTTAACAGGCTGCTGAGGCTTTAGTGAGTAAACGAGAAGAAAATAGGCACAACATAGCGTAATTTTGGGTTGCGTTCGAGATTCTGTCCAATCAATATGAACCTCGAAAATCATGATTATGATATTTGAGAGAAACGTTGATTAATGTACGTTTTCAGTGGGGGTCCCAGTAAACACACATGATCCCTGGGGCATCACGTTTTCGTCCTTCCTGTCCCAGGCGATAATTATATTAAATCTTTATGTATGTTATACGACATCGGGCAAACGTCCATGGGATATCAATTATGTGGCCAATATGTAAAGGACGTTCGTGGGACACATAAGTGAGGACATGTATTAGACATTCTCGGAATGTCTCAAAATTTGAAATGTATACAGGGTACTTCATTAAGAATGGGAAATCTAGAAACTGGAGGTACCACCCATCCAAAGGTGGCCATTGGCGCAAGGATGCCCAACGAAAATTACGACTTTTAACACCCTGTATTTCCGAAAATAGCAACTTTCAGATCAGGCATTTCCCAATCTGAAAGAATCACCCTGTGTACATGCCAGTTTTGACTAGAATTTATAAAGTTTCTATTTGTTATGAGTGTATATTAAATTAATTTAAAATGTGACAAAATTGATCATTGCATATAAGTGTTAAACATTGTTAGCGAGAAAAAACTACGATCTTCCTCAAATTTGATTATGGACATCGCGAATTTGTAGAAGAAGGAGGTGTATTCCATGGGTCACCAAACGCCCAACGCACCTTCTGCATTTTAAATAAAAATATTTTCTATATGAAAAGCATGTCCATTTGGAGAAGTACTGGACATGTCCAGTGGATGATGCAAAATCATCCCCAACTGTTCCAACAGTACATCCTAGATGCATCCCTAGGAACACTGCGGGATATACGGGATGATCTTGAGACTTTAAAAGAACCTGATAATACTGCACTTGGAACGTCTCAAGGACTAGTTTGTAGTGTTTACTGGGGCAATTGTCGGTTTGAGCTCAGAAAGGGTTATGACTGGATTTAGATTTTTGGTGGTCAGTGATTGCTGGTTGTCGTCATGAATCGTTGATGGTTTCGATAATTCGTTCATCAGACATTCGCATACATTAGAACCTTGAGGAGTAATTCTACGTCTATGCCACTATCTAACACCAAAAGGACACAGAAACTCTTACGCATCGTAGGCTGTCTCGAACGCATCCCAGCCACTTAATCGAATGCACCGACTTCTGCCTTATCAAGTTTCCCTACTAAGAAGCGGAAGGAGGGAAGCAACAGCCAGTGAATTCGATTAAATGCCAATCCGTGGGACCAGTGGCGTGCAGAGGACAGTGTCGAGACAGAGACAAACAAGTTGTTACCGGCAACTGGGGCGGCAAAGGGCGACGGCGTGGCCAACGGTGTCAACAACAAAAAGCTTCATCTTTCCATAGTGCTGGGCAGCTGCTCAGCTAAACGTTATGTTGAGAGAGGGGCATTTGCGGACCGGGCCGGAGGGGGGTGGGAGCCCCGCCGACGCCCGGCCGCCCCCGCGATGCGGGGGGGTGGGAGGTAGCCTTACCATGCCGGATCCGAGTTGCTGCAGGAGTCCGCTACTGCCGCCCTGCGATCCCCCGAAGGCTGCGGATGGTCTTCGCGACCTTATCGACTGCATGCTGCTGCTCAGGAGGAATGGGACGCTGCTGCTGGTGTTCGGCATCGATCCACCCTGCGAAGAAGCACAGTTCAGACTCAGAAAACCACTTATGTAAAATCTACACTGAGTCCTCGAAGTAATGCCTAAATTCATTTAACATTCAGCGGACTGCTTTGTGGAAAAAAGTTTGGACCTGTATTCAAAAACTACTAACTACCATCAATTTATTGTTGAAGAGATAATTTTTTATGGCGCGGCGCAAACCCATCGGTATGCGTTACGGCGCCTTTATGTCTCTCGGCTGTCGTCTGCTCTCTCTCGCACGCACCTAGCCGCCGCGGACCTTAACGAATATAATAGTGTGTAGTCTGTGGGCCGATCCCGTGTATATAATAGTGTGCACTCTGTGGGCCGATGTCCTTTGGACGCGTTTTCGATCGTACTGCTTTCGTAAGAAATCGAACGAAAAGGAGCGAATGATCCAACCTTATGGCAACGTACTGAAGCTCGTCAACTCGATCCGAAATCATTCGTACGATTTCGCAAAAATTATTGTAAGTAAACTGAACTTTTAGGCCGGTCGTCCTTTAGAAGGATTTCGTCAGATTTTGCATATGTATCGTCCACTAGACATTTTTTGATTGTTCGCATTGATCATGTGTTGTTATGCATCAAATAAGCACCTTTCTACAGCGTGTTTCGGAACCTTATCGACACAGAGCAGGGGCGTGTAGAGAACCTCAAAGCAAGTCGAGTTGCCATTTCAGTTTTTCCCTCAGGCCCATGGTTAACGAGATACAGGGTGTTAAATTAAAAAAAGTATATTGGTATTTTCATTTTAACTCCTTCAGTTTATGAGATATTTTGCTCAAATTTGGAAGGACGGCTACTGTTTAGACCCTCCACCTGTAGGAACCTACCTTGTTGCGAAAATCTACAGAAAGTTTTTTGTGGTGCGCCATTGACTTCTGAAGTTGAGCATCAATAGCCACCTCTTGAAAGACTAGCTGGTGTAAAAAATTTGCCCTGAAATCCTTAATCATAATGAGAAATTCGAACTTTCAGCATTTATAAAATTAGTTTTTCTTTTCGCGATCAAGATTTCCGCTAGATTGAACTGAATTTGGGTAATAAATTAAAATTTGTAAACAATTCGACACTATTGCAGGTCCAAATGCTCAGTAGGTACATGAAAAAGAGAGTTTTCCTATTTTCTATGAAACACTCCCCCTGTTTCTCCTTTAAATTTGTAATCAACTTACGAATTTTTATTTGTAAATATATTTACATTTTTACTTTTGAAAATTAGCTAGTTTTAAAAATTTCCATTACAATTCCTGATGACGGTGGCAAATGGAAACTTTGCAGACTTATAAAATTATCTCTCTTGATTTTCTAAGAAAGTGTCCGCAATTTTCCAGTTTAATTTTTACTCATACATCGAGGCTTTTACTCCTAAAAATTCGGAATCATAAATATTTGAAACTTTGCACAGAAACCCCCGATAAGGGTGAAAAATCGAAACTTACAGCATATATAAAGGATACTTTGTGCTTCTTAATGAACTGATTCTCAAGTTTTTCCCTTAATCGGTGATCGAGATACTAATTTTTGTACACAGATCGACACTTTTATCCTTAAATCATTGTGCAGTTTCAGAAAAATTACTCTCAAATTTCTGATGATGGTAGCAAATTGCAACTTTCAGGATGTATAAAACGAAGTTTTCTTTTTCCGATGATAGTTTCCACTATTTTACAGTTTTGTCTGGGCTGGCGCTGAAATTTTTCTAACAATTATCGACACTTTTGTTAGTGAAAATTTGATAACAGTCTCAAAAAATTTGTTCAGAAATCCCTGTTGCAGCTTGCTAACATTCGCCCTAATGTTAAAGAAAACACATTAAAAATTGGGTTTCTGCGATTTCTAGTTTGAGAAAGATACATTTTTGTATTGCGGCACAAAAAAAAACCAACTTGAGCCTTCGAAAATTCGTTAAAATCTTATAATGAACCGATTAAAACCAAACTCACGGGGAATCTTAATAAGAATCTTGCTCATATTGTCTCATAATCCGGGCTGAGGCACAAAAACTCAACTTGAAATTTTGAAAATTCCTCGAAAGTATGTTGTTGGCTCGATTAAAACTAAACTCACTGACAATCTTAACAGAACTCTTCCTCTTGCCGAGGAAAAAGAAGAAGCTTCTATCTCCTCTAATTGGGGAGCGGCGATTTTCGGAATCTCGGTCTGAGGCACAAAAAACTCTTGATATTTTAAAAATCCCTCGAAAGCCTGTTGTTGGCTCGATTAAAACTAAACTCACTGACAATCTTAACAAAACTCTTCCTCTTGTTAAGGAAAAAGAAGAAGCTTGTACCTCTTCTAATTGGGGAGCGACGATTTTCTGAATCCCGGTCTGAGGTACAAAAAACTCAACTTGAAGTTTTAAAAATTCCTCAAAAATGTATTGTTGGTCCCAGTAAAAATAAACTAGCGGAGAATATTCATAAAACTCTTCCTCATATCCAGAACAAAAAACGCTCTTCTATCTCTTATAATTGGGAAGTGAGAATCTTTTGAATTCCGGAGTGAAGCACAAAAAATTGAACTTAAAATTTTGAAAATTCTTCAAAACCCTATTGTTGGTCCCAGCAAAACTAAACTCACGGAGAATCTTCATAAAACTCTTCCTCACATCGATGAAAAAAAAACGCTCTTCTATCTCTTATAATTGGGGAGTGACAGTGACGATCTTTTGAATTCCGGAGTGAGGCACAAAAAATTGAACTAAAAATTTTGAAAATTTATCAAAAACCTATTGTTGGTCCCAGTAAAACTAAACTCACGTATAATCTTCATAAAACTCTTCCTCACATTGAAGAAAAAAAACGCTCTTCTATCTCTTATAATTGGGGAGTCACAGTGACGATCTTTTGAATTCCGCAGTGAAGCACAAAAAATTGAACTTACAATTTTGAAAATCCCTCAAAAACCCGTTTCTGACCCGAATAAAACTAAACGTACTAAAAATCTTAATAAAACGCTTCTTTACATAAAGAAAAAAAATGGCCCTTCTACCTGTTCTAGATTGGAAGCAACGAATTTTCCGGACGAAGGCACAAATAATTCAATTTGAGACTGAAAAGTTTCTTAGTGAGCCAATTGAAACGTAACTCGCGAACCATTTTAATGAAGCTACACTGTTAAACGTCGCAACAACGTCTTGCAGGCCCTGCGTTTTTTTTGTTTTTGTAGAATAAACAAAGAATATCCGAACAAAAAATAATATGTCAAAGTTTGAGACTCCAGATTTAAAAAAAAATCGAGCATCAATGAACAAATTTTCTTTATCACTTTTCTTATGAGGAAACACCCTCTACGTGTTCAATTTTTTCCATTTTTGGCTCACCTTGTGTGAATAAATTTTCCATAAAAAAACCGCATTTTCAAATAAAATTTCACAGGTCCGATGTTTTTTCCAAAAAACACTGCTGAATTTTACATAAATTGAGTAATTCCTCACTATAGAAAGCTCAATAATAAATCTTCCAAAGAACTCAGACAAATGGGAATCTTAAAACAAATATACTTACTATCATGTTCCGTGCCAGCTAGATAAAGAAATAAAATTAGGAACGGCAATTTTGAGTGAACACAACAGACACTCATAAGCACTGAGGGTTTTTTAGGTTGTAATGAATCGTTTCTGAGCCTTGCCTGTTCTGCAAACATCACGTATACCAAACCAGCTTCCAACAAGGAAGACTCAGAAACTGTAGGTCTTGCCATAGAGGATCACATCAATAATACCATGATCATGACATCAACAAATAGTACTGTTGATAAGTATGTGGATGATATGTGAAGTACTTGTTAGATGTTAAGATGAGTGGTGAATGAAGACGATTCATCTTGCATGAATTGCTCCGGTGGGTTTCTGAAGAGGAATTTATGCAGGCTGAGTCGCTTAGAAGGGTCACAATGTTAGTAGAGTGGGAATGTAATGAGGACACCGATTCTGAGTCTGAGTGACTTACGTGTGAAGTTGAAGGCACCGAAAGACTCGAGCCCTCTCGGGACACCGAGCTGTATCCGAAGGCGCCCTGCAGGCCAATCAGATGTCGTGTTCAGTATCATGTGACAATATTCCTTCAGCTTTTCGACTAAGAAACCCCTTTATCCTTTACTCACTAAACTCAACACAGCTGGGCTTCTTTGTCGAAAGGCGTTTCTAGTCTGTGGTGTTTGGGGATCATTGTAAATCTGATGAGTTCATTGGTCAGATTATATAACAGGGCAGAAGAAATAAATAGTGGGTAGCAAGTTTTGATTTAAAACTGAGTGAAGAACAAAAAATACTAAAGCAGAGGTTTGTTTAAGCGGTTCTTTTCCAGTCAGACATATCTGGGGCAACACAATTTTGACTCCACTCGGACAATTGAAGGGATAAAATGTCACACTCTCTATAAGGGGGAAAAAAACGGAACAATCGAACATGAAACTCACTCCCGAGTGTTTCCTCTGGTACATGAGGCTGCCATGGGATCCGCGTCCTGGCACATACCCATTCGAATATCCCTAAAGAGAAAGTATGTACTTTTTGTACTGATTTACTCAGAGCTTCATGCATCGAAAACGAAGTAAATGAGACGATTAAAAACCTGTAGTCAAAGTGAGTGAGAGAGGGTTATGTTGTTCTGAGTAAATGGTTCGGGAGTTTTGGTAAGTAAGTGATTATTTGCAGTTGAGTTGCGCCATATGCTGTTGTCTAAAGTCAATTTGTATTAAAATAATCCATTAATCTATCAGATTTTGAAGCAGAATTATTTCTACAGTCCAGGACACATAACTTTCCTTTGCCTTACCAAGAAAACTTTTTCGAAGTTGCTGAATTTGAAGGTTTCATTCTTTAATGTTTTCTACTAAGTGAAGTGGAGTTTTTGCTACGAAAGTTATATTACATAGACTGTACGTCTTATGCTACCTGGCGGAAAATACTCAGAAAGATTGAATCTGAATTACTTGATTGGTTTTTCAGTTTTTCGAATTTTCTTTCTTTTGCAAAAAATAATTTGTTGATATAACGAAAAGTAGACGATTTTCCGTGGAGATTTTAACTTATTTTAACAGGATTTTATGTTGACTAATTCGGGATCATTGGGTTATCAAAGACGTGGAAGAAATGCACATATTATTCAGCAAAAACTAATAAAATAACTAATGATGAAAGCTTCAGAAGAAACCTAACAATCAATACTAAGAGAAAGCAAATGGCATCAGTAGCCGTGAAAATTCCTAGCCTTTTCAAGGAAACAACAAACAAGCAGAAAATTTAACTAAAAAAATAACAGACAAGCGAATCTGGCTTAAAGAAAATCGACTTAGATATACGAAATATTACTTATTCGTATTATACTACTGTATTGAAATAATTGACTTTTTTAACGAAAAGTTTTTCTGAGAACCAACCGTACGCTTTTCGGGCTATCAAACAAAAGCCTCCTAAAATCTGAACAAATGTGGAAAACTATTTTTTACTGGCGGCAAATACGATTTTTTAAGAAAGAAAATCGTTTTTTTTGGATGATCTGCAACAATCCATTTTGCAAGTTTGGGTAATAATTGAACAACATCGTGTTTTAGTTGAAAATCCATTGACTTGCAGACAATTTTACGCTCTATGAAACGGCTCAACAGCTAAATGAGTGCCAGCTTTAATTTGTGAAATACTACTTTTTTTAAAGAATCCATTTGTGTTCTGCAGATGTTAATAGAAAACAGTTAAAGTTTTGGTAAAAATTGGAGCAAATTGGTATTTTTATTGGAAATGTCTGCATTTTTTTTTAGAGAGAGCCTTTTACGATCTGTAGAACACTAAAGCAGCCAATGGTTTAGCGATATTTGTTTTCAAGCTGGATTGCTTGCTTATTCTGCAGATCTTGAAATGGACCCCGTTCGAAAGTGTCTCTAAAAATAAGTAAAAGTCAGATTTCAGCTCTGAGCTTTGTATCTCCTAGAGTTTTCTATGATTCGTAAATCTGGATAATTGGAAATTCCTTAAGATTTTTTGTTTCAAAGCTCCAAACTTTTAAGCAAATTTTGTCTGTTGAAATCACCAAGATTTATAGATTTGTTAAAAAATGGGAAAAAAAAATTGATTATAATGAAATGTTTTGTATATTATAGAGCAATTTATGGTTCAAAAAATTGCGTAACAGCTAATTGTCTATGAGGTAGTGCTTTTGAGCATTTTTTTTTAAAGAAAACCGTGCGTGTTTTTGCGGTAGTTGAAATTTGTCACGTTCTATTCCTGAAATTTAGGAAAACTCGCACTACAGTTATATTTTTCTCTGTTAGAGTTGCATGCTTTATAAAAGTTTCTAACGATAAATTGTTTGCGAGTTTACTTTTTGAGTTACGAATTTTTGTGTAATATTTGTGAAAAATAGGGAAAGCATTGATTTCAACTCAGTAGTTCTTAGATTAAAGAACCATTTAAGCTCTATAAAACGGTGCGTGTTATGGAGATGTTAAAATCGGCCACATTCCAAAATGTTCTTAAAATTTAGAAAAACGTGGACTGCAGTTATAAATTTCTTATCTTAAGTTAATAATAATTTTATACCTTTGCTAAAAATGGATAAAATACTGATTTCAATTATCTATTTTTAATATTATAGAGTCATTTATGGTCTATAAAACTCGAAAAAAAAATAAAAAAGGTCTTGCTTTTGAGCCAAGATTTCTAAAAGAAAACTGTGCGCCTTATGACATGTTAAAATAAGCCACGTTCCAAAGTGTTTCTTATAATTTCAGAAAACTCGGACTGCAGTTATTTTTTTTTCATCTAGAGTCCTGTTGGATAACAGTTCAAAATAAGAAATTGTTGACGATTTTTGTTTTGAGTTACGAATTTGGAAGTAAATTTTTATGTCTTCTGCATAGGTTCAAAGGAACAAGTTTAATAGATTCCAAAAAAATAGCAAATTACTCATTTCAATTAAATGTTCATGGACTTATAGGGCCGTTTAACGTCTGTCGAAGCATATAAATCTCAATTACCTTTGAGGTAGTGCTTTTCAGAAGATAACCGTGGTTGTTGTCCACATGTTAAATAAGGTCATGTTTCAAAAGTTCCGCAAAAATTGGTCAAAATACGGATTTCAACTGGAAAAATCTGAGCTGGTAGAGCAGTTTACGGGCAATAAAACGCAGAAACTGCAAATTATTGACAATTATTAGATTTAGAGCTATGATTTTTGAAAGAAAACCGTGTTGTTTATTCACATGTTCAAGTGGATCCTTAAAATTGGTCAAAATACTGATTTTAACTCGAAAAAATTGGGCTGATGATTACGGGCAAAAAAATTTAGAAACCGCTAATTTTTAACGATAATTGGTTTGGAGCTTTGATCTTTAAAAGAAAAGCAGGTTTGTTCTGCAGATTTTAAAACAGACGTTCTTGCAAAGATTCCTTAAAAATGAAGAAAACTCTGATTTTAAATGAAAATGTTTTCACTTTACTCACGGACTAGAAAACTTTAGCATAAAAAGTTCATTTAAATGATTTCGTTAAATAAATAAATTGTTAAGAAACAGTTTCTGTGTTCTGCAGATGTTCAAACAGCCATGTTTCATAAATTTGTAAAAAATCGATCAGATTGATTTACCTTGTCTGTATCTAAATTAAGAGTGTTTTTAGCGATCGATGAAATGGCACAAAGAAAACTCCTTTAATGTGAGTGGTTTATGAGTTATAATTTTTTTAAACAAATCTTATTTATCCAGGGGATTGGAAAAAATGGGGACGGTTTAAAGCTGCGGTAATAATGAAAAAAAAAAATCATTTTGAAAATAAGAATTTTATATTTTTTTAAGCCTTTTGTGCTCTATACACTTACTGAACGGCCAATTTGCTCAGAATTTTCCCGTTAGAATTATAATCTTTTAAAAATGGCGCTTTTGTTTTGCAGATGTAAAAATTAGGCAGGTTTTGGAGTTTCGAAGACAATTGAAAAATCCGGATTTAAAGTGACTATTTCCAAGGTTATAGAATCTTGTCTGCACTATGTAATGTATAATAGCCAATTGCCTAAGATGGACTGTCTTTGAGTTATTATTTTTTTCATAACTAATGGTCTGTATTCTGCAGATGCGAAAGAATATGTCAGAATATAAAGAGTATTTTATCCCCCATTCAGCGAGATAACGGCCAATTTTTTAAGAGATTTAGTTTTTTTCTAATGATTTAAAAACAACAGTGTTTGTTATGCTGATGTTAAAATATGCCACGTTCTATTCTTAAAATTCAGGAAGACTCGCATTACAGTTATTTGTCATTTTTGTTCTATTCTAGAGTTCTGCATGCTTAATAAAAGTTTATAATGAGGAATTGTTTGCGAGTTTTCTTTTTGAGTTACGAATTTTTATGTAAATTTGTATGCGTTCTGCAGATATTCCTGGCAAAGTTTCATATATTTGTGAAAAATAGGGAAAGTATTGATTTCACGTAAATATTTCTTATAATATAGACCCATTTATGTTCTGTAAAACAGGCTAAAAGCCACTTGTTTATGATGTCGCTTTTTGGAGTAGTAATTTTTAAAAGAAAACGGTTCGTGTTATACAGATGCTAAAATCGGCCACGTTCCAAAATGTTCTTAAAATTTAGGAAAACTTGGACCGCAGTTTTACAATCTTTATCATCTAGAGTCCTGCATGCTCTCTGCTTAAAGTTTAAAATAAGAAATTGTTACCAATTTTTGTTTCCGAATTCCAAATTTTTATGTAAATTTTTGTGTGTTCTGGAGCTGTTCACATGACCAAGTTTTATAGATTTGTTAAAAATGGGTAAAATACTGATGTCAATTACATATTTTTTTATATTATAGAGCCATTTCTGGTATATAAAACGGTGAAATAGTCAATTGTCTGTGATAACGTAACGATTTTTTAAAGAAAACTGTGCGCGTTATGATATGTTAAAATACCACACGTCCAAAGTTTTTCTTAAAATTTCAGAAAACTCGGACTGCAGTTATAATTTTTTTTATTATCTAGAGTTCTGCATCATCAGTATAAAAGTTCAAAATAAGAAATAGCTTAACATTTTTGTTTTGAGTTACGAATTTTGAATTAAACTTCTACATGTTCTGGAAATGTTCATAAGACCAAGTTTTACAGATTTCCCCAAAATTGGCAAATTAGTAATTCCAACCAAATATCCATGGACTTATATAGCATCTTAACGCCTATAAAAGCATTTTAAGCGATCGACTAAACCACCCAAAGATCGCTTCTCTATTGTGGATTGAGTTATAAATTTTTAAAGCAAATCTCATGTATCCAGCAGATAGGAAAAATGGGGACAGTTTAAAGCTTCAGTTATAATGGGAAAAATTCGTTTTCAAAATGACAAATTCAGGATTTTTTAGCCTTATGTGCATAACGGATAATTTCCTGAAAGTTTGCCTGCTCAAATTATGGTGTTTAAAAAAAAACGCGGTTTTTTTGTTAATATAAAGATTAGGTAATTTTGGAGTTCCGAGACAATTGAAAAAAATCGTATTTAAAGTGACCATTTCCCAGTTAATAGAATCTTGTCTGTTCTATGTATGCTCTAATAGCCAATTGCCTGAGATGGACCGTTTCAGAGTTATAATTTTTATCCTAGCAAATGGTATGTATTCTGTAGATTCCAAAATAAGACAAGTTTTTGCGGCTTGGGTAAAAATTGGAAAAATTTGTCTTTCAATTAATTTTGTCAGATTATTTAAAGTATTTTATCCTCCATTCAGCGAGATAACTGCCAATTTTCTAAGATATTTCGTTTTTCACTAACGATTAAAAAGAACATCGGAAGTCGGCGTTGTGGAAGATCTAGTAATCCATATTCTGGACATTTTAAGAATATTTCTAAATACCCCCACACGCGAATTCTTTGATGAAAAAAAAGCTAATATAGCGATCTCTAATTTTAAGTTAAATAGGATAAAGAGTTTAATAGAATAGACTTTGCTAATACACTCAATGTGCCCAGAAACTACTTTTCCACGTTGTATAGAGCCATGAGTATAAAACAAAATTTATAAAAAACCACCCGTTTTGCACCGATAAACAGTCGTACACAATCGTTGTTACTGTGCAACAAATCAATTCCATCCTTAAAAAGAAAATTGTTTAAACTCACCGTTGGAGGAGACAAATTAACAGTGGATCCTCTGCGCTCCTGCGGCCCAATGCTAGAATGCCTCCGAATGGGCAATCCTCCGCCAGGAGTGCCTCCAGGTGACGAGGCGCATGAAGGAGCAATTCGAATTTTCGGAGTCATCAAAGTGTTATCCGACAGCCTTCTGTTTGGAAACGCGTTAGCTACTCTGAGGAAGTTACTATCGGGTGAGGAAGGTCCTCCAAACCACCACGACCCGCTCAAAATGCCCCCTGCAATATTAATGGATGTAGTTGAAAATTTCCTGCCAACCTCTGAAACTCACCAGTCGAGTTCTTGCGCTGCATGTCCTCAGCACTGGAAGTCTTCCTCTGCTCTATCCTCAAGTTCGGGATGTTAAAAGGGGGGACGTGCATGTTATCGGAGCTGTACTGATGTCTTAAGGGCCGATGCCTCTCTGGGCTGGGAAGCGAGAGGTTATCCAGTTTGAGCTTGTTTCTCTGGTTGCGGTCGATTTGATCCAGCATATCCTGCAGGACCTCGATGAGCACGGTGAACTGTTCCAAGTTTAGGGAGGGATTGACTGTTTGCGGTATGAGGTGGGGCATCACTTTGGTTGCCATTAGGTTGACGCTCAGCCCGTACTTTTTGTCACTGAGCATCAGCCGATAAATATCTGCAAATTTTTTCCTGCTGGAAAAGTCTGCACCAACGCAAAGTGCGCGAATGCTACTTACTGACAACTCGCAGAATCACCATGGGATCATTGAGGCGAATCTCGTGAAGCAGCGGCATGATTTCGTCGATGATCTGCGACTTATCCAGGCGATCCAGGCTTCTCTCGATGCAGGAAAGCACATTGGAAACCAGCTTCAGATCGTTCTGGTTGTTCTGATAGATTATTTTTGTTTTGGGAAGAATGATCATTTTGATGGCGCTCTCGTCCAGGTATTCTGAGATGTTGGTAACAGCAATCAGAGCTGCGTTCTGAAATAATACTTCCAGTTCAGTATGGAGGGATTATTGAATACTTATTATCATTACCTGCACTTGTATGGTTGGGCTATCGAAAGCATTGTACAGCATGGGAAGGACCTCGCTGTTAATCTCCTCTCTGGGGGTCTTTTCCAGAATAATGTGCAGATTCTCCAGAATAGTAACAGCAGCTTGCACAGTCTTGGGAGCAGAGAATATCTGCCTCAAGTTATGAAGAATGAACGTCTCGTACTCATCCACAGTGGACTCCTGGACGATGAACAGCACGGGCTGAAGAACAGCAGCTAGAACCTCCTGCGAGCACATTTCCTGGCGCAGAGAAGGCCATATGTGCTGGTACCACAGTTTCTGCAAAAATCCAATGCAACGCTACTGGAAAACAGCTAGATACAGGAGGCCTTTCATTCTTAATATCCTTCAGTAAGCGTCTCTTTTCCATTGTTTTTCCATCCCCGATCCGGATTTAGTAAGCGGCCTTTGGTAATGTGGAAGCAAACCAGATAGCGAGCCATCGAACTCTATTAGGGGCGCTTTATGGACTCTTTTAATCGATTTCCTACATTTATTCGAGGTTTAATTTTATTTCGAGGGATCGTTCAATCGGTTGAGGAGCTGAGGCTTTTCGGGCTTTGATTGTTATGAGAGTGTTATTGGCTTGAGTTAGTGTGAGAAAAAAGGCATGATTTTGGTGAGTGTGTTTGAGAACTTAGAATGTTTGAGCTCTTGATAAACTCAATCCCTTAAGAGGATTTTTGTTCAATTTAATTTGTGCAATAAACCAGAAATATATTAAAACTGACTGTTCATACATAACTGTGGGGTACGAAGAAGATTCTGAAGCTGATTTTAGTTTGCTTATCTAAATTTACTAGGAACGAGTGTACTTTTGCCTGTAGTTGCTAGTTTGTTTCCTTAAAAACCTTCTGTCTTCAGTTCTCCTTGATTTTACATGAAATCCTTACGAAAATTATATTTAAATTGCTTGGAAATTCAATATAAAGCAAACATTACATTTTAGGTCTGCAACGTCTTTAATGCACCAATTCAGGCATATCGAACAACTTTATGAGTTTCGATGCGAATGAAAAGGTCAATTTTATTATTTATTTAGAAACAATACTAAATTCAAAGAAATTGGAAAACAATTTACGAATAAATTAAAACTAGTTTCACCTTTACATAATTTTTTTGACCCAAAATACAAACTGAATACATTTTTGCTTATTGTGGTAAATTTATTTAAACAACTCGCACTGGGCAAAACACTAAATAACAATTGTGGATTTGTATTATTCCATATTCCCAGTTTTTCAGCCAAAAAAATATAAGTAAATCATACAAATTCATCATTTCATTTAGGTGGAAACTGCTTCGGGTCTTCAGCAAAATTTATTTTCAAACCTGGCCCGGGTCAACATTGTTCAATTTATCTCCTATCTAGCCATCAATCTGTCTTAAGGCATTGCTTCCAGCTTTCTGCCTCCATTCTTTATCGCATTCGTTTTCCACCGCATTAATTTTGGAATGCGACTTTTAAACCATATTTTTATAAAACCGCGTCTTCATAAAAAAGCAATTTAAGTAATAGCAAAAACTTTCACTCTCCAAGCATGGAGTACTCCAACTTCGCAAATGAGCAAATAATATTAGAACTGTTATAAAAATAAAAATTTCATTGGAAAGAAGAAGATTTTCCCCCAAAACTGGTTATTTTAGTTTTGAATTTGCTTGAAAAATGGCAAAGTTATGAGAAAATTAACTTGCGAGATGCTATAACGACCACCTGTTTTCAAGAGAATGAAGTATAAGAATTTTAATGACAACTTGAAGCTTTAGATAAGTATTTTTGCATTGAAAATCCAACAAACTGGCTTCAAAAAACTGAATATTCTCTATAATTTTTAAATTGAAAATCGTGACAAAATTGAGCAAACTGCTAGGTAATTAAAAGATCGCGATTGATGGTGCCCGATTAACATCTTCTGGAAACGACACGGAAAAATCGCTCGGTAAGAGCAAGAATTTGTACATACAATGATTTTTGGGCTTCTTAAATCGCCGAATTCTGAGCAAAAGAACAGGTGCAATAGTTGGTAGCATCCGAATTAAAACGTTTATATTTTGAAGCACAAAGAACACTTTTTGCCACCAAAAGTGTCTTAAATAAGCCTCAAAAATCTAATCCATATTTAAATTAAATGTAGACGCATAATTTTTATCTGCGGATATTTCGCCGAACAAATTATATAAAACTGAAAGTTTATATTGATGATTTTATCCATTCAGACTGCGTTAATTATTAAACACCCATTACACTTTCAATCAAATATGCTTTGAATTAAGGCGTGTAATGCAATGAATGACCAATTCCGAAAATACATAAAAGTAAATTAGTTGTTGAAGCCATCAATCGGCAGATTGAACGATAAATTCCCCGTTTACGACTAATGATCTCGATTTGATTTGCAATTTAGATTTAATGAGCCTGAAATAAAATAAATAAAAGCATCGAATCACTACTCGATTTATTGCTCGTTATTCGAATAATAAGAAAAAATGAGTACAGATTTATGTTGTAAACTAACAATTCTGGCGGGTTTCTGCAGGTTTTTCTGCGGCAAAAATACTCGAAACAATATCCCGGTTTTGCCTCAATTTCCCCATTTCCTAGAGCAGGTCAGCCGCTTTTCCATCGATCCAACCGACCAGCTTTCGAAATAAACTTATAAAATGTCTGAATCTGTTCTATTAGAGATAGTCCCAGTTGAAGTTTCTTCATCAAATTAAAGGCAACACAATAAACATTTGTCTGAAGACGAAAGTCTTGCGGCTTAATTCAAACTGATGAAAGTTTTCGAGTTATTTAGATAAAGTCGTTTTTGTTGCAAATAGTTGGAAACGCAATTCTATAAAGTAGCGGAAATATTTTGCAGATTGTAAGTTTTAAGAGCATTTCAACGCAAATATGAGAATGCAGGAAGAGAGGAAATGGCAATTTCTGCAATCAACTGCGGAAAAACTCAAAAACATTAAAATAAAACGAGAAAACTTGCGTTTATTTGTTTATTATAACATTTTCCTGAAAATTTTCCATGGAAAATAAGAAGCAATTGCATCTAAAACACAAGCTTTAAATTGCTTTTAATCTTACATTTTAGGGACCAACCCAGCACAAATTCTCTTAAATTTAATCCAAAAAAGTTTGTTTTCAAAGATCCGGAACTTTACATAGTAAAGTGACCATTAGGCCCAACTTGAGTTGTTCCTATTTTTTTCCTGTATATTTACCATTTTTGAAGCAATTGCATAGTTTTGTCTGATGTTTTCTTTCCCCACTTTTCAATATTTTTCTTGATCAACAAAATTTTGCTTATGTGAAAAAACTAAACATAATTCTATTTCCCATAAACACAAACAGAGTTTCAGCAAATTTCATTTTTCTTTTAAATTATATTGTTAAAAATTTTAAATTCATACATTTTATTATTTGCTCACTAATTAACTTCACTTGTTTTATCTTCTTTTCTTGTATTTTTACTATCTGTTATTCCCTAAAAATATTTTGTATTTCTTTCTTAAATGGCATTAGATTGATTGATTTTTAACCTGCTTGTTTCTTTGTAACGGGAAAAAGTTACTAAACACCTGGAAAAACCAAAAATAATGATAATACTTTGAATTTGAAATTCTTTGAAACTGGTAAAATTTTCAGTTACATTTTTTTTGTTGATCCAGCAAATGAAGATTTGCTCCTTGATTTAATGGTTGATATTTCGCTTTAACTAACTTCGCTTTTTTATGTTTTCTTTATATTTTCACTATTTATGTTATTCTCGCAAAAGATTTTGTATTTCGTTCTTAAATGGATTTAGTTTGATTGCTTCTTAACGTGCTTGTTTAAGCGTCTTCTTCTCAGGGTTCCAAGATTCGTTTAATTTATTGAAGTAACGGCAAAAAGTTAATAAATTGCCGAAAAATGAGATAAAACTAAAAAAATTGCAAGAAAGTCTCAATATTGCGTATTTCAAGAAAAAACCCTGCACAATTGAGTTCAGAAAATCTTTGTTTTTTCTCAATAAATCGCAATCTAGAATTCATTTCGGTCATTAGCAAAAGCACATAATTGCACGACAATTCTTTAAAACTAGTCAAATTTTCAGTTTAATTTTTCTTGTTGAACCAAGAAATGAAGATTTACTCATTGATTTAATGGTTGATATTTCGCTTTAATTAACTTCACTTCTTTTGTGGTTTTTCCAGACTTTCACTATCTATGTTATTCTCGCAAAATATTTCGTATTTCTTTCTTAAATGGCTTTAGTTTGATGGATTCTTAACTTGCTTCTTTAAGAGCATTATTGCTTTCTTTTCAGGGTTCCAAGATCTGCTTAATTGATCGAAATAACGGAAAAAAGTTACTAACACTTAAAAATTCAAAATAACGTCTGAATATAGCGTCTGAATATTAAGTTCAGAAGACCTTTCATTTTTTTTCTCAAATTCGTTTTTCTCAAAAAATTGCAAACTAGAATAAGGTTATAAGCAAATGCATAGAATTGCGCTATGATTCTTTGAAACTGGTCAAATTTTCGGTTTACTTTTTCTTGTTCAGCCAACAAATGAAGATTTTTGAAGCAAATTAGGGCCTTTCCACTAAACCATTAATAATAAAGCAAGTTTAAAAAATCGCACGAAAAATTTTTGTACAGTTTTAATTTTATAAAGTAAAAACAAAAGTAATTATAATAATAAAACCATGAAATTAATGCTAAAAAGGAAAATCTTGATAAAAACAACTCAAGCTTTTAAAACTTGCTCAGCTAATTTTCCGCTCAATTCCATATCCGGATGGCAAAACTAATGGGGAAAAACTGTTTTCGCTATAATAATTCCATCGAGATTATTGCGTCGTGAATATCCGGTACAAAATGGAAACGTTGTTAACATCCATCAACAAAGTTCGCTTTTAATTCGAAACTTTTTCCCTAAACATGCCCGTCGCCGAATGGACTCTAATATTGATTTTAGTAAATGAAGTTGTTTCCGCACAAACCAAATATGCAAACTAATTTCCGTGGGCAAATAGAGCGGAGGTGCAATATTTATCATGCGACATTAGATTTTTGCCAGATTACTGCAGGTTTAAGCATTAATAGAACGTTCCGGGATTTGCAAAAAAATAGCTGATCAATTCCGCTTCTCTAGTCTTCTAGTCTTACCTTTGGAATATACGGAAGAGCATCTTTGAGGGTGTTCCGATAGAAATGGCTCTTTTGAGTGGGATCTTTCATCATGATGGTATCCAGATACTGCAAGGCTTGAACCAAGGGGTCACTAGAAGGACACATAATTAAAATCGGTGGTTAATTAGGGCTTTGGAAGGCTCACTCAAAAAACTTCAGAAGCATCAGCAGCTGGGCAGTGGGGCGTTGCCGAATGTCTTTATTCATGAGTCTTAGGACGCACTCCTGCAATCCTGCAGGCACTCTGGGAAGAATGTTCCGGATCTGGTCCTCAATCTGAAAGAAAACCGTTCTTCAGCGGCAACAATGTAGCGACATGAAAATTTCATCAAGCTTCCTTTTTCCTGCGATCTGTTCAGCGGCACCTCCTTTCGGCCCTTCTGGATTTGGAAACATGCCGAGAGATTAGTCAGAATTAAGGCGTCCTCATTCTATTATGTGCCGTTTAATTTCGAGGGGATACAGGCTTTGGGTTTGGTTTTCGGACACCTTTATGAATATGAAAATCATTAAAAGTTAAATGAGTTTTCAAGGGCTGCTGAATTAGCTTTACCAGCGCTCAGTCTGGATTCTCAACCGATGCACTTTGGAATTAAGCAAACTTTGATTTGAATTAAAATTTACACGGTTTTGTTAAAACATCTCCTGAAGGTTCTGGGCAATAATAGGAAATAGACTAGGCTTTCGAGGCCATTCCTTGAAACTGGTGAGTTTTTCGGGTTTTTGCCGTCGTACAATGGAATTTCTTCCTGACGTTTTGCAAGCACGAGTGGCTTGCATCTTCAGAAATGCTTTGCTTGATAGCTTACACTGTACTCATGGGTGTCATCGGCATCAGAGCATTTTGTTGCTTATTGTTATGTTCCGGTATAGTGGATTCTTCTTCATGTCTTGTGCCGTTACCTTTATTTGCTTTCTCTCTTTGCTGTTTTTTTTTGATAGCTTCTCGTATAAGTCGGAGGCGACAGCCTATTGCTGAGGCTAGGACTTGAGTTTCTTCAAATTTAAGGCTGTGCGCTCTATCCTTGAGGGCTTGTTCCGCCACTGCCGACAATCTGCAGCTTAGTCAATGTTCTTCGATCCTCGTCTTAACGTGTCGTGATCTCTTTGTGGTTCCTGTGTAGACGCTTCCACAGGAGCATGGGATTTGGTAGATACCTGCAGTCGAAAGGGAATGTCTTCTGTCCTTAACCGACCTTAGACATTGCTGGACCTTCGTCATGAGCTTGAAGATTGTTTCTATGTTGTTTCCCTAGGGTCTTTCCAATTCTGCCCGTAACTCTGGGAATGGAAGGCAGACCCTTTGAGTGGTTTTACTCTTTTGGGCAGCACGGATAACCCCAACTGCTCCTTTGATGTCAATATGAGATTATCCGTTTTGAATGAAAGTGCTTTCTAAATGTTTTGCAGGGCTGTATCCGCGAGAGTCTGGATTATTCCTTGCTTTTGACTCGGGTGATGGCTGGATAGTTCCAATTGGTTCCCTTTCCTGGACACCGAGACATCGAAGAAGACCAACTGTTTTCTTTGTTCAACTTCTATGATAAATTGTATCTCTGGGTACTGTTTGTTCAGGGGGCCGAGGAACTTGTCCAGGTTATCGGGTCCATATCTCTATGTCCCAAAAGTCCCATCGACATATCGATAACGGATAGCAACTCAAACCTGTTTCCTATAATCTCTCCATAAGGACATTTGCTACAACCGGGCTGAGTGGGCTTCCTACGGCTACTCTTTCCTTTCGTTCGTAGAATTCTCCATTCCACAGGAAGTAGGAGCTTTTTAGACAAGCTTTGAAGAGATTAGTAGTTCTTCCTCAAATAGCTCCGCCACTAGTTCTATGGATTCGTTCAGGGGCACTGTTGTGATCAGTGACACGAAGTCGAAGCCGAGTAGCATGTCCGTTGGTTCCAGTCTCAGATCCTTGATTTTGCAAATAAAATGGTCTCTGTATGTGTGTCTGTGGATCCTATGTGTGGCTGCAAAAGAGAGGCTAGATATTTTGCCACATCGTATGTGGGCGATCCCGAGGCACTGATAAACGGTCTGAGTGGGATCCCTTCCTTGTGAATTTTGGGTAATTCATACAAACGTGATGGCAGAGCTACTGACGTCAAGATCTTCTTCAGGAGGTCTCGTTCAATGACGACATTTTGATCAGGAGGTTGATGTTCTTGAGCTTGACCTCAGTCGGGTCTTGAGCTTTGTATAAGTAGCTAGGTCTTGGATCTTCTGCTCATAGTACTCTATTAATAAGGCCAGTAGTATGTTTGTCTTCTTCTTCTTCTTCGTGTTAAAGGACAAAGTCCTGTCAACTGGAAGTCTTGTTTCTGGCTTTTGTGTTTTGACCCACTTTGCAATACGGTCTGGACTCTTTCGTTCTATGTGGTCTCTCTCTCACCCATCTGACAACGTCCTGCACTCCCAGTTCTCTTCTGGTGTTCTCGTTGCGTGTGCTATCATGCCATGTGATCCCCTTTATTATTCTTAAGATTTTCATCTCTGCTGTTCTCATTTTCTTTTTGGTAACAGACGTTTCAGCTCTTGTCTCGGCGGCGTAGGTCATTATGGGTCTGACGCAGGTCTTATAAATTCGTGTCTTGCTCTCTGTGGTCATATATTTGTTCATCCAAATTATATCTCGCAAACATTCTGACACTCTTACGGCTTTTCTGATCTGGTTTTCCACCTCATTCACTGTACCTCTCTCTGCTGCTCGATACCTTTACCCACAGATAGTCGAAATTCATCACCTGCTGTATAATACGCTCGCTCACCACCAACTTATATCGGATTGGACCCTTGGATATTACCATAGATTGTGTTTTTTCGATCGAAATTTGCATATTAAGCCTCTGTGCTGTTAGGTTAAATCTGTAGAGAAGGCGGTGGAGGTCATCTTCGATCTCTGCCGTCAAGACAGCATCGTCTGCCTAACAGAGTATTCTCAGGCGGTGGTTGTTCATCTGTTCATATTGAATCCTGCATCGACTTGGTTCACACTTTCAATTATTTGGTCCATTTTGATGTTAAAAAGGCACGGGCTAAGGCTATCTCCCTGTCTTATGCCGGATGAGACTTTAAGTTCTCTTGTTAGACCACATTCTCTTCTTATCATTGTTTTATTGTTTATGTTAAGCTGCTTTATTAGGTTTATGTGGCACTTATTAACACCTTTTTGGTTCAGTCGATCGATTACATCCTTAAGCTGTACATTATCAAATGCTTGCTTTACATCTACAAAGCATGTGTACATTGGTCTATTGAATTCAATGGACTTCTCGATCAATTGGTGTAATATAAATATTGCGTCTATCGTTGATCTATTTGAGCGGAAGCCTTGCTGATCCTCGGAGATTTCTACTTTATCGGTTATTTTGTCTGACAATATTTGTGTTAGCAGTTTTAGTACACTACTTAGTAACGTTATGCCTGTGTAGTTTTTCGGGTCCAATTTTGGGCCTTTTCTGTATATCGGTATTGTTATGCTAATTCTGCATTCATTGGGTATTACTCCGCCTTGTTCCATTTTTCCGAATAACTTTACTAATTCTTTTCCGATTTTTGGACTTCCGTACTTAAGTAATTCATTTGGAATGTTGTCAAAGCCTGGAGATTTTCGGTTTTTTAATCTCTGTATGGCCGTTTCTACTTCTCCCAGTGTTATGCTTTCCTCTTCTTCGCCTGTAGATGACGGATTTTCGATTTCTACATCATCGTTGTTTTTGCTATTGTTATTATATAGGTTTTGAAAGTATGTTGTCCATGTTTCTTGGTCTATTGCATTTATTACTACTTCCTCATTGACTGTCTTTTTTCTCTTTCGTAGCATGGTCCAGATCTTCTTCTGTCCCCCGTACAGGTCATGTTCCATTTCCACCGAGAACCTTTCCCAGTATGTCCTTTTAATCGCATTAGTTGTTCTGCTTCTTTCTCTTTTGTAGACTTTTAGATATTCGTCGGGTGATCTATTGTTGATGTACCTTATGTAAGCGTTCTTTTATCTTTTGCTAATTCCTTGACTTCGGGGTGAGCCATGGCTTATTGTTTCTTTTATTTGTGTTTAATGTCCTTTCTCCCTAGGGCTTTGTTGGCACTGTTCTTTATTTTGTTTTTTATTTTTCCCGTGCGTCTTCTAAATTATCTCTTGCTGTTACTGTATTTTGAGTGATCTTCTGATCTAGTCTGTCTTGGTAAAGTTTTCTGACACTTTCATCTTTGAGTGATTCTATATTCAATTTTGTGATGTAATTCGCCATTTTCCTTTTTTTATTATGTGCGATGTACGATACTTACATAAAACTAGTCCGTGTTGTGTTCCGATATTTCCTGATGTTAATATACGTACATCGAGTATCCGAGAGGTGTATATAGGAAATATACACCCCCCCGATATATCCTATTTGTAAGGACGTAATCAATGATCGATTTTTGGCCTCTTGTGATGACGAAGGTGTATTTTTGTTGCTCCTTGAGATCAAAATATGTGTTCTTAATAGGTAGTTCATTGTGGGCACATGCTTGTATCAGCATTTCTCCATTGTCATTTATCGTTTCTTCGTTGAAACTGTGCATGATTCCCTGAACAACAGAATTGACAATTTTTGAGTTAAGGTCGCCCATGATATTGTCTTTGTCTTTTCTGGATAACTTCTCTAGCGTGTGTTGCAGGGTGTCCAAAAATTTTTCTCTTTCTTCTTTCGGCTCGCCTGCATCTGGTGCATATACGCTTAGTATGTGTGTTGTTTCCTGCGCCAGTTCCATTGTCACTTGTATGATGCTGCAATCTATATATTGTACTTCCTTTATACTCGTTTCGAATTTCTTATTGACCAATAATCCCACACCTCCTCTAGCTCTGATGTTCTTGTCAACGCCACTACAAAATAATGTGTAGTTTTGGCATCTTTAATTTCCAGTTCCTTTTTTCTTAGTTTCCGAGAGAGAGCTGATGTCTATTTTGCTTTTCTCCATTTCCAATATTATCTCGTAGTCTTTGTTGGTCCATGATGTAATGTTCCACCTCCCCCATCTTATTACATTCCTTTTCCATACTCGTTTCTGTTTCGCTGTGTCGTCGTCATTAATCCGTCCGGATTCCGACGTTTGTGTTCCTTCTTAATTTTTTGAGAGCTTCTTGTTCTTCTCCCCTTAGGTTGCTTGGCGGTGGTTTTCTTCTCCGAAGGATTTGGGCAGTTACCGGGCGTATTTCATTTGCTCCTTGTTCGAGAAGTCCTTGCAGCACCCCCTCGGGCCAGGGATGATCTCCACTGTTG